TAGATAGATAGATAGATAGATAGATAGATAGATAGATAGATAGATAGGCAAGAAGACTAGACTTCAATAGGTTAAAACTACCCTAAGGGTTTGGGAATGTTTTTTTTCTTTCCCCAATGTGCGAAAGTGAAAGCCATGTCTCTGTTTCCCAGGTTTAACTTATCCTAGACTTATTTGGGGCTCCTTCTGCTTGAAACACTCTCAGGTTGCTCACAGGCCTCTCCTTCCCAGGGACTCTTTGAAGCAGGGTGTTGGGGGAGAAAAAGTAAGGCAAGCTACGGCTGAGAGGTTGGGGCTGAGGAATTTTTATCGCAATCCCGAATCTTACCTGAATTTTTTTGTTTTTCGGGAAAGGAGAAAAATGAGAAAAAAAAAAAAGGAAAGATGAAAAGATGGCTGGGGGGAAAAAAAAGCCCTGGTCTCGGTCAGAGGGAGCCTAGCAGCCCAGCTCCAGCCCGAGATAAGCTAATGTGTCCTTTTCCTCTGCAAACCGCTTTTAAAATTCAACCCTCAACTTTCAAAAATCTGTCTCTAATTTCAAACTCAAATAAGCTCCCAGCATGGTGGCTTTTGTTTTGTTTTCTTCTCCCCAACTCCTCCCTGCGATTGCATAACAAAAGTGTCTAAATTCACACCATCTGGCCGATAAAGACACTGGCCCCACTGCCCGGCTGGCCCATCTGATTAGGGCCCTGTCTAGCCTGCGCCTTGTGGCGAAAAGTCACAGCTGTGGGGTTTGCTCGCGCTCAATACAACTCTGTTATTAGCCAGCTGTAGGCCCAGAGACGACTTCTGTTCAAATTATAATATCTTTTAACCCTCTGAGCATTGAGGGCGCGGGGGTGGCTGGCAGCAGCGTAACACCTAGATATCTCCTTGCTAATAATTGGCAAAACGAGGTAAGGCGGGGAAGAGCCGAGATCACTTGGGGAAGCGAGGAAAAGTTATTCCTAAAGAGACGAATTTTGCCCCTTTGTTTTGGCACACTCACACACATACCACCACCACCACCAAAGCCAAAGACCAGTTAATGAACCTTTTACTAATGAATACAGAACAGCAAACCATTCTCGGAAGTACCCAGGTATGCCAGACAAGACCATGCAGTAAAAGTATATGGACTAATTAGTCACTGAAGAACTGAGAGCCTCACTCGGGCTCCATCACTGACAGCTGTAGCTGACTGGTCCAAGTGAGGGAGAAGGACCGGTTCCCCTTCCAGGAGAATCAGTCCCTTTGACTAGTGAGAAGTTCCCCTGTGCCTATGGACACACCTATCTCTCATCTCCCAACACACACACACACACACACACACACACACACACACACACACACACTGCAGACAGTAACCCATCCGACAGATTGTTTATTCACCCATAATTAATACTTGTTTGAAAATCCAGTTTGCAAAGAAAGTAAGCACGCATCTTCCCCACTCTCCACTGCAGAGGAGTTACAGAACATTAAATTTTTATATTGTGTTACTAATGCAGACTAAACTAGAGGCTTTAAAAATTGATGCTGCTATTTAAACAGCATAAAACGAGGGGGATTTGATTAGGTTTAAAAAATAAAAACGTCATCCTTAACTACAGCTGCATGGAGTGTGAGAGCATTATTTAAAGTGATGGGGGGGATTCCTTAGACAATGGCTACTGGCAGTGGGGGGGGGTGTGTTTCTTTCTTTTAAGATTGTCTCTCCAGATAGGGATACTTAGAAGTGTAGAAGAAACCTCCTCTTTGACTAGCCAAACAAATCAAAGCGCTGTGACTACGCTGTCTAGGTATGACAGGCAAGCACGTTGTGGAAGACCAGGACTTCAGGGGCTGGGAAGTAATGGAGTCTCTTACCCATCACCCTGCCCCTCCTCAGGCCATGGCACCTCAGTGCCCTGCGGCTGAGGCCAAGGCCAGGCCTCAACTTCGCCTCTTGGTGAATTTGCTTTTCTAATATTTGGCCACAACCTAAACAAGCACGTCTGTTTGTTATGATTTCTTACTGGCTGGATTGAGGGGGTAGGGAGGGCTTTAGAGGTACAGTACCTACTAAGTCAGATGACCCGCCATTATCCCCACACAGCCAGGAATGGGAACAACAGTCAAGGAATTGAGAGCTGAGCGGAGGGAAGAGCAGAGGCTTGCCCTCCAGTCTTTGGAGACAGGGAGACAGACGTGTGTACAAAACAGACCTTTCCATCTTATACTGAAAGGCATTCTTCCCAGAGTCCCTTGTATGTCCTTCCCCATTTATGGCAGGCTCATTAACACCCTACCCACTAGACAGCACACACTGAGCACTCCGAAAACATTAGCTGAGTGATAGAATATAGGGATGGTTTCCCCACCACTCCCATCATCAACTTACTTCAATTTAAGTAGGAGAAAGGGGGCAATTTACAGAGCTCGAATGGATTGGGCCCTGAGGGCCGGCAGGAAGACCGAGAATGCCAGTAGACTGCAGTTTTCACAGTGTGATCCTCTGAATCCATTTTTCCTGGGACCTCAGATGTCCCCAGTATGGGCTTCTCCCTATCCTTGCACCCATTGATTTTCTGCCTCGTGATTCCTTCTTGAACTTCTTGACCTAAGAAGCCCAGGCATCTCCCAGGAGGGCTGGGACTTAGGACCTGGCCTCTCAGCCCCCTGGTGGGGCCTGGCCTCCACTGAGTGACCCCAGGGCTTTGGGTTCAGCAGCTAAAGCCACAACTCATGGAAATCTGCCCTGAGCAGGCAGAGAGTCTGGTGGAAGGCTTCATCCCAAACTCCACCCCAAGCCCACCCTGATGCCTAGGCAGAAGCTAAGATTTCCCACTTTGTAGAAGAAACTCTGGGAAGCCAGGGGAATGGAATCCATCTTCTGGTACACCTTTCCCAGTCCAAAGGACTATCCTCCAAAACAACAACCTTAAAGACAAGGAGAGGTCTTCAAAATCGGCCCCAAGACAAATCTACCAGATGCCTTGGCAAGGCAGCCTTAGGAGCTCCCAGTTTTCTAGACCAGCCCAGGCAAAAAATGGGGGGGGGGGCTCTTACCTGCACATCACCTCATGCGTCAGCAGGACTCGGCACATTTCTGGGTTCTTATTCTGCCCCTCATAGGCTATGGGCTGTCAGAAAGGAAGACACGATGAGACAGAGGCAAAGACAGGGCTTTAGAGCAAGTCCAAAAATCTGTTCCCTCTCACTGCCACCTCAGAGAGTCCCTCCCCCCCCCACAGAACCAGAGCTACAGCCCCATCAATATAGAAGTTCGCCCCTTAGTTCTTCTTAGCAAAGAGGGATACCCCAGTGAACCGAAACTTCACTAATTGTTGGCTGCCTTCAGCCCTTTATTTGCCCCGCCTCCCCAACACCTAGCGTTCCCCCATAGCAGAGGAAAACAGATGAGAGACGGGGGAGAGTTTTTGCTTTTGTTTTGTTTCCCAATGTGGGCTTGGGGTGAGGGGAAGTGTGAACCCGATACTGTAAATCACGCTGGAGGCCGAAGTCAAGAGACAGCCCGGGGCGTGGGGAACTAAAGGCCATCGGCTCCAGGGCTCACCTGCTTGGTGACTGAGTCGATGAGTCTGACGTAGAGGTCTTGTTCTGTGCGGACACCTGCAGGGCGAAGAGGGGGGATAAGTGATGGTGAACAAGGACAGCAGGAGCTCTCACCCCTCCCTAAACCCCTTCCCTGCCCTGGAGCCTGATCCCGTCAGTCCAACAGGCCACAGACCCCTTGATGGAACTGACCTGGAAGGGGACACCCCTCAATTGCCATCCCCAACCAGGACCTCCCCTCCCTAGCGTGGTGTTTCTCCAGGCACAGTAGGTGGCAGCTAGCCGCTGTACCTGGCTGTAGTGCCTACCCATGAAGCCGCTTACCGTTGCTGTAGAGGAGCTGTAACTTGTAATGGGTGCCATTATTGGTCTTCTCATTGCCTTGTTCCTAAAAATACAGAAACCTTTCTTGTACTTTTTGGTAACCTCCCCCCTCCATGAAAGAAACAGGCTTTGAACAACCCCCCATCCAGTTCCCGGGGTCAAAGGGCAAGGAGCAGCTCCCACCATTGGCCACCTTGAAGGAAAATTTGTCAAGACTTGCAGTCACTTGACCTTCGTCAGCCCTTGCTTCTCCCTCTTTAAAAATGTCCTCATAAGTGCACCCCTGCCTCCTCCCGCTGCCGTGAAGATCAGACACCAAGGCTTTCTTTAAACAGTGCCCACCCAATCCATCTGTCCACACGAAGCCCCTGGGCTTCTCTCAGGGGAAAAAAAAAGTGAGTTTGCCTGTCCTTTAGAAGGGCAACATTAGTTCCGCAAAATGGGAGTGAGCAGGCCCAGGGCTGGGGATCTTGGCGACTAGGGTTCCCTTTGCACAGCTAAGGAGGCTGGGATTGAGATACAGCTGCTGGGCATGTATTGGTTTAGGTAAACAACCCTTCATTTCAGATCAAATCCAGCCCTCAAATCAGAGTTTGAGTTCAAAGGAGACACTCCATCCTTTTGGGGGGAGCAGTAAAGAGTTTTGAGCCTGGGAAGGCCGACCAGAGTTCCCACATAACACTGAATTGACACACCTGCACCCCTTTGCTCTCTTCCCCCGCTGCCAGGCGAAAATGAAAAAATAAATAAAAAACCTGGAGACTGACAGCGGCAACTTTGGTTATACTTTTTAAACTACGGTCTAAAGAACTTTTTCTCCGAGGCCAGTCAGTAGCTACTACTGACCCCAAGGCTAGGTGCGCGCACTGCGCACTGCGGCAACCGCCGGATTCGGAGTAGGACCAGCAGGGGAGGGGGGGATCCACTGAGTTAGAGACTGAGGATGGGAAGCCTCAATTTATCATCCCTGATGATGCGAGCGGGAAAGTGTCGCAAGTGACAGATGGAATCCTTAGTGCTTCGCAAGGAGGGAGTTATTAGGCCCCGGGGCGGGAGGGGGGAGCAGGGGTTCTGCTTACTTTGTCGTTCTCCACAAAGTCCACGAAGGCCGTGCGCTCGATCTCCACCGGCTGTCCCTGCCTGTCGTAGAGCGCCAGGACAAAATGAAAGAAGTTGGATTTCCTCAAGTTAGAGGGAGGTTGCTTTTCAAAGTGGGCCCGGGACAGGGCCACTCCGCTGTACCGGAAGAGATGGAAGGGAGACAGGACGCGGGGAAAGAGAGAAAGACAAGAGAGTTAGGCAGTTACTAAAGTGCCCCAACCACACTGCAGAGGAGCCAAGAGAGCTACGATCTAGGCCCCAAATACCTGAAACCTTCAGGTCCTTTACCATTTCCGTTAGGAAACACATTCCCATAGGCACCTTGCTTCCAGCGCCCAGTTTGTTAGACAACCTCCCAGAATCCTGTCACCAGGTCTCTAAGTCTTCTTGTCCGGCCTTTAATGGAAGCGAAAGAGCGAAAGACCAGAGCTGCCAGCAAAGGTCCTGAGAAGCGAGTCTAAACCGCTGACGCCTGCCCTATCTTTTCCTGCATCCTCCTGCCAAACCTCAAAGCTCTGACACAGCTTTGGGGTGAAGGGGGCGAGATGAGATTCTTTTGCATCTGAGCAAATGACCCCTTTAATTCCTGTCTAATGAGTTACCAGCCCTGTGACACAGCCTAAAAGAGGGGAAGCCTGGAGCCCAGGTCTTGGTCCTCACAGGGCCTCACCCACCCACCATTTGGCTTACTCTACGGAAATTTGCACCCAGGACAGCGTCCGGGCAAAATCTCCACAGTCGATGGGGAGAGCCAGCCAGGGGCAAACGCTACTTGAGGACCTTCGCCCTCCGGAGCTGCTTCACGTGGAGAAGCCAAAATGTTAAGAGGCAATCAAGCATCCTGGCCAGAGACCCCGGTGGTCAGCTCTCAAGCGTTTTCCCCAGTTCCCTGACTCTGTAAAGCAAGACCCGGAGTCCTCCAGAGCCTTGAGTGTGTGCAGAGGACCTCCCTGTATACCTGTTTCTGTAAGTGCCACCCACATTTAACTGACAATCGTGTGGCGTCCCCGGCAAAATGACAGATGTCAAGGGCAGCCCGGTGGCCCTAAGGTCTTCCGGATTCCTGTATTTGACACGGTCACGGCCACTTTTTTGAAAGGTGTACATTTTTGGCTAGATTCTGACTGCCTGTTCAAACTTTAGCAAAGCGTATTTTATTTCGGAAGGAAAGACAGGAGGACGGACGATGTCTTTAAGTCCCGCTAGAAGACGGGTCACAGTGCGGATCTGCAGAGTTGCCTTAGTCCCCTCGCCAGGGCGAGTCCTCAGAGTGCTGTTGTGAGCCGCAGCCTCCTCTAAGTACCATCTGCTTCAGAGACAACTGAGCATCCCGGCTCCGGAGGGGTGGCAGTCGGGCACCGCAGCCCGCTTCAGTCACCCGGCATGCGGCCTTTGCTTCCGCTCCTTCAAGGGTGGCAGCCAGTTCGCTCTACCCGGGACACATGAAGATGTGGCGTGTCTGGAAATGGGGTCATTTCTCAGTGAGAAGTTCAGATTTAAGGAGGTTGGCGCGGAGAGCAGAGGAAGAAACGACAGCCGTGGGAGAAGTTTGGAGGCTCTTGAGAGTAAGGGAGCTGCCTCTCATAGACCCGGCCACGAAGGCCACGAATTCCAGTTCAGAAGCGATGCTGCGAAGGGGGACTGGAGTGTCTTCGTGGGATGGAATCCTGGACAAGACTTTACCATCCACACAGGTGAAGACCTGGAGTCAAAATCAACTTGAGGAACGCGCAAAATTGGAAGTTGATCTTCTCTTCGGCTCAGGCGACCGACCTTCTTTCTCGCCTCTCCCGCAACTTCTCCTGTGCTTCCGTCCTTGCTCTTTAATTTCTCGCCAGCCTCGGTTTGTCTGGCCCACTCTCTCTGACCCAGGAACGGCTTGCCTGTCCCCTTTGCCAGAGCTCCCGGCCGCCTTGCTTTCCCCTGCAGCCGCTCAGGCCTTTCCGGATCCTCTCGCCGCCGCCACCATCTGGCCGCTGGGCTCCCCGAGTCTCGGAACCATCCTGAAAGATGCTGGAGGAAAGGCGCTCGCAGGCGCGTGGAGAAACCTCGGAGTGACCGGGAAGCCGGTTCCGCTGCCAGCTCCGGTCCTCACGCTCCGCTCTTGACTCCATGAGTAAATGCTGAGGCATGAAGCTTTAATGCTACTTGAAAATATTTTCCCCCAAAGAACGGACTGTGGGAAGGAGTGAAGGGGAAACACCTATGACCTCGGTAATTCAGAAACTCCAGTGTTGGCTGCCGGAGGATTCCCCTGGCCGCAGCGACCTTCCCGCCCTCGGGAGAGCCCCAATGCGCGTGGCCTGGAAGGATAGACGGGGACAGAGAGAAACAGAAAGAGAAGGGGAGAGGGGCACACGGAGAGACAGACATAACCAGATACTTCCAGAGCACTACGGCTCCAGTCTCATTACCTCTGAGCAGCGACATTGGCGTCCACCACGCCGACATTCCGGACCCAGGACCTGACCGAATCCATCTCGGCGCCCAGCGACTTTTCTTTCAGAGCTGGTCCTCTTCCTAGCGTATCTTGAATCCCAAACATTTAAAAAGTCTGATCCTTTACTGTCGCCTTAAAAGTGACTTTACGACAACACCGCCCCGACTTTCCAACGCTGCCAGCAAACGCTGTTTTCCAAAGCAATCCGAGAAAGGGGGCAAGTGACGAAGTTTGGGGCCCTCTTGGAAAGAAATAACCAGTCCTTCCCTCCACGCACAATGCACTCAAAGTTTGGGTTTTTTGTCCTCGGTGGTTTCAGATCTGCCGCCTCGGGGCTTCTACCACCCTAGGTCGCCCGCATCCTTCCAGTTGCAGAGCGTTCTCCAGAAAGTGATCGCAATTTCGAAGCATCACCTGTTCTGGGAAAAACAGGAGGAGACAGATAGCTGTCTGATTTCTCCCCTTCCTCCTGGTTCCCCCCTCCCTGCTCCTCCCCACCGTTCCAATATAGAAAAAAAAAAATCCCCAACAGGATCAGTTGTGAGAGGAAGGGGAAGACCCGGAGCCCGGAGGAGGCGGTGGCTGAGAGCGCGGTAGAGCCGGGTTGCAGCAGCGCGCGGGCCCCATGAATGGTTACTACAACCCGGGCCGCGGGAGGCGGAGCCGAGGCCCGATAAGGAGCCTCATTTGCATGGACGCCCGGGATTGGCCGGCTCTGGGTAAGCCGGGCGGACGTCCTCCCGCGGCGTTCGCCAAGCTCGGCGTGGCCCGAAGTCCCGGAGGTGAAAGGCTACTGCATGCTGCAGGCGCGGAACCTGGGCCAGAACCCCGAGTGTTTGACCTGCGAGGGAAGGGGGCCCCCAAATCCTGCACTGAAACAGAGTCGCCGGACTCTGAGAGTTAGGAACATGATGGCTCTGTCTGATCGCGGGAGCAGGAAGCTAAGCGGATTTGCCTTTAGATGTAGGTTTTTGTCGCCTGCAGGGGACCCAGCAGATTCATTACCGGGGTTTGGACCTGTGTGCATGATTGGCAGCAAGCAGAACGTGTGACCACCTGAACTCGTGCTTTATGCAAACACTCCCCCCAGGGCATCCTTCCTGAGCCGGTCTCCCAAGTCTCGTAGAGTTCCAGGGTGACTCATTTCGTGGGAGGGCTACAAGTGCTAAAAGGAGAGAAGAGATGAAGGAAGGCGAGAGTGGAGTGTGGATGAGTGAGGCTCAAGTGCAGTTTAAATAAATATAATGCCGAGGGAAATGGTTGAGGAGCTAAGGAAAAGGGTCCCGGGAGGACGGGAGCACGCACCTTTGCAGATGGGAGAGGTTGCTGACAGCTCGGCAGGCTGAGAACAGTTGCAGTTTCGAGAACCACCCTTGTGCCTCCCTCCCCAATCCCTGATGCCCGGGGAACCCTGCGAAGGAGACGCGAGGCTGCTTCGAGGGAGTCCGGGAAACTTTGTCTGCCGAGCGCTGTGGTTGCGAGGGTTGGTGGCCGGGAAGCTGCGAGCAGCTCCACAAAACAGCTGAAACCCTAGACGGCCCGAGGTGCTTATTTAAAAAAAAAAATCCTCCCGGCTTGGTGTTATTTTCTTGCTTCTCTTTTTGTATTCTGATCTGCGCGTAGATCTGCTGTTGAAATCTAGAACGCCAGCGCGAAAACAGATTTGAAGACAATGAATGCAAATCTGTGCTCAAAGACCATCTGCCGTGGAGGAGACAATCAGCTGCGCCGCGGTTCGAGCGACTGCACCCGAGCCTCCCAGCCTCATTACATTCGGGAGACTTCCCTCCCCACTCAGAGCACAGGTTTGCGCGTCAGTTGAGTCCTGACCGGACCCCCTAGGTGTAGGTGAGCGCTCACAGATGAACTGCGAGAGTTAGCCGCTAGAGGACACAGCGGCCCGGGGTGCACGATTGCCTAGGAAAGCGAACAGAAAGCTTGCTCTTGCCGAGACTGCGACTCGCCATAGAAAGGGACCTGTGCGCGTCACTTCACCTCAGGGGCGAACTGCAACTGCAGACTGCGCAGGCGGGATGGTGTTCCGCCAGATCTGTTCTCGGTCTGCTGCAGGGACTGGCTTGGAAACTGATGGGAGCGCGAGTCCTCTTTTCACATACTTCTGTGGTGGTTTGGGAGAAAGGAGGCTGGAGTCGTGTTTGGGGTGTACCCCAACTCCAGGCCTGGAGCTTGGCCTTCCTAGTGGCTTAAAAGGGAGGAAGGGTGACTTGCCGTGTAGTTGGGTATAAGAAAATGGAACGGCTGAGTTACATAAGTCAGTGGTCCAACAAAAGAAGGGCGAGGCTGGGGAGAAACTGGTAGCGTTAACAGCCACTTCTGAGCCTCCGTTCCACAATTCTCTGTTACACGAAGACTTTGCAGATAATTGTGACACCCCAACTCCCAGGAAAATCACCCAGAGTCTTCGAACCTAGCCTGCTGGGTTGTTGTTGTTGTTGTTGTTTTTTATAATCTACAGAATTTAAGTAATCCCTTCGTCTTCTTTTTCTTGTCCGGGGGGCCCTGTCCCCAGCTGGGCCAGGCCTCAGGTTCCTCGGCGGGGAGTGTGGACCAGCCGGTGAGCCCTCTGACGTGTGGATAAAACGGCTGGCTTTTGTTTTGTTTTGTTTTAACCTCCCCAAGGAGACTTTGATCAGCTACACCTCGAAAATGCTCGAGAAAGATGTCCAGAGCCCGAGGGGCTGCGGGGCAGCACTGGGCTCCGACCTAGCTCGGCCCGTGGGCCCCCAGAGGCTTAGGGTTAAAGGGCAGAGCCAAGGTCGCTGACGCCTCTTTTTTCACCAGTAACAGCTGCCGCCCAAATTATACCCCTCAGGGAGCGAAAGAATCGTTCCTTTCTCCCAGCTCCCGGCCGCCTTCTCCAAATCAAACCCTCTTCGGTGGCGTCCCACCTCCCTCCTCCCCTACCCGGTGACAAGTTCAGGGTGATAGTGCCCTGCTGGGAGATGGCCGGTACCTTGCCGCTAGATCATTAGCCAGTGGGACTTTTAGCTCTTAGTGGGCTGCGCTGAGGGAGCTGAGGAGCCCTGCGGCCCCTCCAGGCACTGAAGACGAGCTGCAAACTGGCAACTCGGGGTCCCCTAGTGTGGCTAGCCCCGAGTCCAGAAGTTCCTTCTAGGTGGGGATGGAGTGCCAGACCGAGTGCCCTGAGTTGCGAGGCTTGTGAGAGCTGGGCGCCTTTCTGCCAACCGCATTGGCTTTGATTATGTTTGTGGAGGTTATGGGGAGGGGTGACAACAGAGTTGGCCACCCGCGCCGTGCTTGTGACTGAAGCGCCCAGCAAATCGTGGCGCTTAGAGGGTTACTCCCTTTTCTTTCGCCTCAGGCTACGTGAAAATAACCCTCCTTTAGGAACCTGCAACACAAACCCCCTCCGGGAGTGGCTCCCGGACCGACCGTCTGGAGGAGCTGCGACCCCTCCTGCCCCCCAACCCAAGAAGCCCGAACCCGCAAGGTACCAAAGTCTTCCTCCGCCCAAGATTGACGAGTCTCTTTCCATCATCAAGAAAAATCCAGAACTCAAAGTATTACTGTTATTCCCTACCATCTAGTTTAGTTACGCAAACTGGGGAGGTGGTTTGGGCATTCCAGCTCATAGCCTGTCATGGCCTTTGTTCATTCACCCTTCTAATATACCGGCTCCAGGTTTGGTTTCCCGCTGCAGCTTAAGACAGTGTGTTCAGTCTCTGAATTGGTTTTGAGGCCCGGTTGGTCCAGTATTGTTCAGTCCTGTCATCTTGTGCGCCAAGGCCCTTCTCTAGTCAGAGGTTTGCGGTGGTGCACATCAGATGTCATTACACACAACCCTCACCCCCACTATCTTCTCTCTCTCTCTCTCTCTCTCTCTCTCTCTCTCTCTCACACACACACACACACACACACACACACACACACGTCTATGCAAACCAAAGTACAGACCTGGACCATTCCTAAGGAATTCTACGGACCGAGACGGCTAGTATATGGGTTGTGTAAATTAAAAGGCTTTGGTCTCCATAGCCTGCCTTTGGAAGGCGTTTTTCATTTGCCGGATTTTGTTTTTATTTAAACCGCAATTTTTATTTATTTGCCCAGCTAGCAATAAATGACTTTGTTCTATCTCAGAGCCCTACTGAGCATTTAATTCACAATTCATAAATGATTTTTTAAAAGAAACTTCATTGGCTCCCACACCAAATTGAACACCAAAACTAACTTTATTGACTCCCACACCGAACTGCAAACTGGACAATTCTTCTCTTCCAGAAACTATATTTGTACAGTACATAAGTATAAGTTCCCCAGAGAGGGGAGAGTAAAGAATAACTTATTTTATAACTTCACGCTATCTCACGCGTACACACCAAGAAATTTCCGTTAAGGACAGTTTGGTCAGACTAGGGTTCGAGTTTGTTTTGTTTTTAACACGGTGAAACAGAGTCGAGCGGGACCTCATACAGAAACATTAAAGATAAGGTGCAGAAAGTTTTACATTCGCACCGATGTGGTACCCATGCCCATGCGGTCCCTGCGATGTATTTACCCAAAATGAACCGAAAGAGCCTAACACTTGTGGAAACTCCAGACAGCCTCGTCCCCCTCAACTTCACATTCCTCTCCTACCCTCTACTTTCCTCATACCTCGTTGGTAGCACGCTTAAGAAAGACACTTCCTTCCCGCTCACTCATTTCGAGTGACCGCAAAAAGTTTGGGAGCCAGAGCGGAGCCCAAGTGCAGAAAGGTACCGAGGGACAAAGCCAGCAGCCGTCCACAGCTACCACAGCAGCGGTATTAGGAACCCTGATGTCATCTGCGCTGGACCCGTGGGCAGCCAGGGAATGGCTGAGGTCTGCGATAGGACACAGGTGGACTGACAGCTTCTTTCTACTCTAACGCTGGGACCCAACGTCTCCGGTGCTGGGTGTCTGGGCTAGACAAGCCCCTTCTTGGGCCCACGCTTGAGTAAAATGGCCACTTCCAGGCACGAAGGCCGGGCATGCTGTCCCGACTGTACTCAGGACAACAGGATCAGGAGGAGGCAAACACACAAAGGCGGGACGTTTACCAAGAAGATGTGGGGTGCCAGGTACTACCCGCGCACTCTGCCACTCAGCTTGGCAACAACCACTTTCAGTAGGGGTGTATGTGCTCCCACCTCGCAGAGGAACAAAATGAGCTAGGGGAGAGGGGTGACAAGTGACAACTTCCCTCATGAGTGGAAAACAAACCCCTCACTGGTCTTCCATTTCCAGACAGAATAGGCAGTAGATGGCCTTTAGAGAGGGAAAAGTTAAATGTGAGTCTCCTAAGGTGTTATTTTTTTCCTCCTAGTTTCTCAGCTCACTTGAGATAAGCAAAGAGTCATTCCGAAATACCCCGCATTTTCCTGGTGGTCCCCCTCCCCGCCGCCGCCAGCAGGCAGGGGAAAGCCCGCGGGACCTCCCAGCTCCCTTCCCGCTCCCGGCGGAGGTGTGAGCGATGTGTTGATTATTCATATTTTTGCCGAACGCACACTCCGCCGCGGCCGGCGCCGACACATTTCACACGTATACTCACGCACACACTTGGTATGCGCGCTCGCGGGGCACGGCGCGCACTC